TATCGTCACAAACAGAACTGCCCGGTAAACCGTAGGCAGAGAGAGAGAAGAGGACAACAAACGAGGGGCTGTGACAAACTGTTTCGTCGGAGTTTCACCGACTCATCAGGTATATATATATAGGGTTGCCGGCGTTCGGGACGGACCGAACACCCGAACCCGAACGCCCGAACGTACGGGACCCCTTCGGAAGGCGTTCGGCCGTCCAAGCCGAACGCGGACCAAAAAAAAAACAAGTTTTCAAAAAATTCCCAAAAAAACATATGTTATTGAGAAAAATAAACTAAACCACATTTGCCTGGGCACTACATCGAAATGCTTTACCAAATTTGAATTAAAAATCAAATACAGAAAATAAACACTATGATAAAAATAGGAAAAAATAAAAAGAGAATTAAAATGAGTGAGTGTGCCAGCACCTTTTCCACACCGCCATCTTTGCCGATTTTTTGTTATTGTTTGGCGTTGACAAATGCCCTGAAAATTTACAGATATGTAGTTTACATAATTAATAACTCATTAAAAAAAAATTCAAAAAATAATAGTTTTTTTTAGGCCCCGAAATAAAGTGAAAACAAAAAGTTAAAATTGAAAAAAAACAAAATAGTGAGTGGGCGAGCACGTTTTGACACCCCCATCTTTGACGATTTTTAATGTTTGTTTGGCTTGGTAGAATGGCTTTAAAACTTATAGGCGTGTAGGTTACATCATAGAGAACTCACGAAAAAAGACTCAGAAAACAAAACGTATTTTTAGGCCCCGAAATGTGTTATGGCGGGGGCCAAACCTGGAGGTGTTCGGCCCCCGAACGGGACCCCGAACGCCCGAACGTCCGGGGGCCGGGGCCCCCCGAACGTTCAGTCAGGTAACCCTGTATATATATATGAGAGTCGGTGAAACTCCGACGAAACAGTTTGTCACAGCCCCTCGTTTGTTGTCCTCTTCTCTCTCTCTGCCTACGGTTTACCGGGCAGTTCTATTTGTGAGGATGTATATATATATATATATACATAATTTTTTATTTTCTTTTCCGCTTATTATTCTAGGAATTAAAAAGTCGGGGATTTTCGGCCGCACTTGGCCCCTGCGGTTGGCCCCCGCGGCCATGATCCTGACCACATGCGGTCAGCGGGCCCGCGGTGATGACTGCGGGTGATACATAGCTTGGCAGTGTTGGCACCACCACCGTTCCACAGTTTCAGGGACACACATTTTACTTCCTTGGTCACACCCTTAGCTTTATGTTGGGACCACCACAGCAGTTGACTCCTTTGGTCAAACCCTCAGCCTTATCTTGGCACCACCACAGTTTCAGGGACACACATTTGACTCCCTTGGTCAAGCCCTTAGCTATAGTTTCACGGACATGGTCAAACCAACCCTTACATACGGACGGGGTGAGCCTATACTTTCACACCAGAAACAAACTGCAATGTGGACATTGTAGAAATCGTCCTTGTTCCACAAAACAAGAAGAAAAGAAAAAAACATCAGTTCGGATCTATCTTTATAATACTATTATGTGGCAAACAATTATGCTGAAATACAGGACGCTTCGGAAAGGCAAGGATTGCTTTAAAACAAAGAAATCATCTTCATAAATTCTAGCTGAGCAAGAAAGGACGGATGCCAAATGCCATGCGGAAAAGTTGGAAAACCTCTCTTGGATCTATGGATTTCTTTCTTTTTCTGTTTGTTCTTTTTTTATCCATGGATTGCTTCCTAGGGGATATCGCAATAAATCTGAATTTTCTAACTGAAACATCTAAGTAGCTTAAGGAAAGCACATCAACCGGATTCAACCGAGGTCATCATCCTTCCTCCGCTTCCGGCCCAAGAACAAATAGATGTTCTCCCAAAATTATTGTGGGGACATTTTAACAAATAAGTTTTCAATAGCCTTTTTATTGCAGTCAACTGTACAGGCAACACTCACCCATCTCTTGCTTCTCTCTCTCCTACCCCCTTAACTGGGGGCCAACTTGGGTAAATAATGTGCAGCATACTTAGTTGGAGGGCTCAGCTGCCTCAGCATGCCGCATGGGCAGTTGAGCTGGGAGTTAACCCAACAAATTCAACAATGTTATTACTGACACGTTAAACTTTGCACGTCTCAAAATTATTTAAGGTTGCAGCAGGAAAACGACCAGAAGTTATTTGAAGTACCAAGTCTTGTCTCGCAATCATAGTATAACACGCCTACCGGCGAAGAATTATTTAATGTCGCATCAGGACTAGGTGGCCAGCAGCAGAACCCAGGACCCCTTCTACAGGCCTGCAGCGGCAGAGCAGAGTGTATTTTTTGACTTTGTTTTGAGCCATTGCGGCTAATGCTCCTAATATCATGGAAGCAATACTGCAAAAAAAGAAGATTGTTTGCCATGCTGGATCATAAAAACTTTTCCACATCACTGACATGGTCATCAAGTCCACCTCTGGCCCGTCATCAGCAAGGTGGCAAGGCCCCTTCCACACATCGCCTACCTCACACCAGAACCTCCAGAATCGGCACTTCTCTCAAGGTTGAAGGCAGCTCACACCCCACAATTGAGACCTTGCTCATGGGGTAACCCTCGTCGCTCATCCTCAACAGTCACGGTGCCTGTCACGGTGTCACCCAAGTCAGACGACAGTCACACAGGCAAGACTACAGCTCACCCAAGACACCTAACTCACTGCAGTAATAAGTAACTTAGTGAATGGGGAAAAAAAAAAAAAGGTGAAAAAAAGTACACTGTACAGTGACCATACTCTTAAAATTCTGAATGACCCGTCATACAGGGAAATGCTGCGGAATCACATCCTGACACCCTTTACCCTTCAGGGCCTTCACAGTTCACCGACTTCCGTAGCTCATAGCATCATAGCACCCTTCGTTGACTCAGTCTGGCCAACCATGGTCAAGGCCGAATAGGTCAAAGCAGATTCACGGGAGGCGTCGAGAGCCGAATGATGCTGGCAAGTACCACCGCATTGCAACAAGAATAACCATATCCCCATATAACATATCACCATGAGCATAGGTTAAACTCGTTAGAGTCATCGCCGTATCCCTGATATCAGCATAAGTCACGCGCATAGCTTACCATAAGTTCCTCCCCCCTCCTTGCCATAATCCCACTCTCTGCCCAGCACATGAGCGCCGGGCCGCTCAGCTTGGAAGTTGGCACTGGAAAGAAGTCAAACGCGCTGCTCGGTGGTCAGCAGCGGACTGCAGCATACCTGCCGATGTCCTGATATAAACCTTGGTCGTATAGATGGCACTCTTCACAGGCCCAGGAAATCACCGTCAAACTGACACCAAATTGAAATGAGCGGATTATCAGCCCCCACTGGAGAAACTAGACTCGTTTATTTAAATTAAAAAAAAATAAAAAAAATCGAAACTAGACTCGTGTAGCAAGCACGGTCATATCTCGTTTGACCAAACTGCACATTTCAAAAGAGAAACTCCGGGCATACTCACTGTCCGGGACTTTTCAGCCTCTCTGTGGACGTAATTCGGTCAGATGCATCCACACGTTGCCCTGAAAGTGGTCAGATGCATCCACACGTTGCCCTAAAAGTGGTCAGATGCCTCCACACGTTGCCCTAGAAGTGGTCAGATGCCTCCACACGTTGCCCTAAAAGTGATCAGATGCATCCACACGTTGCCCTAAAAGTGGTCAGATGCACTCAAAGATAGAGCCAGTGCGAGACAGTGTGAGTATCATTGGCCTCCGATAACAAGCACCGCCATGTCTACTGACCAAAATGCACACGGCAAACTCAGGACATATTCGGAGTGTCAGACTGGGACGCTCTTAACTTGTCTCTGAACGTAATTGCGGCCAGGTGCATCCAGGCCTTGCCCTAACAGGGGTCAGATACATTTTAGATCGAGCTGCTTTTCAGATAGAGCTAGTGCGCGTACGCCTTCAGAAAACAAGCACCGCGATGATGGCGCCATCTCGCTCCTGACCAAAATGCAGACGGCAGAGAGAAACTCAGTACATACTATTACTGGGACTTTTTTAACTCCTCTGTGGACTTAAGTCCGGCCAGGTGCATTCAGGCTGATCTAGCCGTTGCTGTGAAAGCGGTCAGATACGTACAGGAATGCTCTGAGACTCGCCTGAGTACTAGAAGCACCGCCATCTCTCTTTTGCCCAAAATGCCCACGGCGATAAGGAGATCGTCAGAACTGACAAAGTAGTGATCAACCACACAAACGCATGAATATGAATTCTCGCTGTCGAAGTCTCTGCGATGATGAAAGCTCCTTTATACTGTACAGAGTCGTCAGAACTGACAAAGTAGTGATCAATCACACAAACGCATGAATATGAATTCTCGCTGTCGAAGTCTCTGCGATGATGAAAGCCCCCTTATACTGTACAGAGCTCATGCCCTCGACCTCGACCAGCCGCATAAGGCGATGGCATCGGCAAAGTCGAGGAGATTCTGAAGAAGAATTGCACCGTTCGAGAAGTAGAAGCCCTAGCATTAATCTAGTGAACTACTAGAAGCGAAGCGCATCAGCGGAAATCAGCACGGGGCCGCAAAGACAGAGGTGGTCTCATTGACTAACCCTCCGGTGAGCCAAGAACACTCGATGGTTAATGAACATTCCAACTGAGCGGCATTCGTCGAGTTCGCTATGACAGTCTGACTCGGTCAATAACTAGTCTAGTTTCAAAGCATAGGACAAAGAAAGAAGAGGGGAAAAAAAAATGATAATAATAAAAATAACAATAATAATAAAAATAATAACAATAATAATAACAATAATAACAATAATAATAAATAACAATAGTAACAATAGTAATAGTAATAATACTAAAAGGAGGAAGAAGGAGAAGAAGAAGAAGAAGAAGAAGAAGAAGAAGACGAAGAAGAAGAAGAAGAAGAAGTGAAATAAGTAGTGAAATAGCGAGGCCTATGGCTATGCATCTATGTCTCAACAAAGTTCAGCAAAGCTCCTGCACGGACAGTATGCTCAAGGCGCACATTTCCCGACGCGTTTCGCCTGGCTGCACGCCAGGACTTGTCAAGGGGCAACCACCTTCCCGCATCCACCGTGCCACACCACCCAGAGCAAAGAGGGCCATTCTGGCCTTGCCCTCCGAAGATATACTGACACTCACTCCACGTCTGCGACTGACTGGGCGGACTCCGACTCGGCTCGTATGCAACCGACCTGGGGCTAGGTCCCACTTGCACGAACTAAGAGATACTGACCGTAGATTGCAGAGATCAACGGCCAAAATCTCCTAGTTTGCGCCAGTGGGACCTTGCCCCTGGCAAGCCCGTGCGTTCACCCCATTTTCCGGCCAACCTCTGTGTTCACCCCACTTTCCCGCCAACCTCTCTGTGCCTCCCGTTGTGCCAGGTTGTTATAGGGCCTCGTTCCACTACCCTCGACTTGAAAAAAATCTCAAGGGCAGCCCTACGGGCGCCCTTGAGCCAAAACGTAATTAAAAAGTACTAGAGGTCGTCGGCGTTCCACTACACCCTGCAGTTCCCGCTCCCAAAAGGAGCGGGAAAATATGCACCCCTGTTCGTCACAGAATTTTCACAACCCAGGTCCATCGCTGGGCCCCGACAACCACGATTGGCAAAAAAAAAAAAAGAAACGGACCGGACGTGGGGCCTGAACTGCTGCCTGGTCGTGCATATTGCCACCGTTTCCAAGAAATTTCAAGTCACCTGCGGGAGGTGACTTGAAAATTGGCCCAAGTTGCCTCGGCACCCTACGGCCGCCCTCGAGTTTCAGAGCGGGGTTTTGTTGAGGCGGGAAGCTTAATCTCTTTCCAATTGTGATTAACACATCTTGGAACGGCGCCGCCCTTGAGATTTTTTCAAGTCGAGGGTAGTGGAACGAGGCCCATAAACTGCACGTGTACCAGCCAGCTGTAGGGGCCTATGGTGCGAATCTGGCTAATCCGGCTATACCCACCTCCGCACCAGGCCCGTTTCTCGAGATTGGTACCTGCTAGTCTGGAACGTCCACCCTACTTAACAGGTTCCGACACTACTGGCCCCGGCGACTCTAATCTAGGCCCTACCAGCCTCCTTTTTTTCTTCTCTTTCCCCGCACATCCAGCACCTTCCGGTGCCTCCTTACCTCGCCCCTTCACCCTGCCCGCACCGTTTACCACCTTCCCGCCTACCTGTTTTTCCCTGCCTCCGGCCCACATTACTACCTAAGCCCAGCTCCTCGAGGGCAATATTGTACAACCCGATTGTCGTCACCCAGACCAGGGATTCCCCTATTCTAACTACTCATGTACATCCCGGTCTACACCGGGCTAATCTCCTCTCTCTCCCCTACTCTGCACCGCTCCCTTTGCCTCCAACCCCCTGCACTCTGCTTCCTCGCTCGCCTAATGTACAACCCGGTTGTAAGCAGCTGGACCGGGTATCTACCTTTGTTCCCTTTCCCACCTACGTTCCCTACTGTGCACGGGGTCCCGTAACTTGCTCTTCTTCGCCCCTGCCTCCCGATAGCTTGTCACTGAGTACAACATAAAAATTCCCACGAGAAATGAAAGTTGAAAAAACATTCAAAAAAAAAAAATCCTTCATATTTATAAATTTTCATTCCAATGTTCGTCCAATTCTAAAATTTTCAATTTAATTTGATAAGTTCCCGTCTAAATATGAACTTTCCCGTCCAACTACATCTATTTGTTGAAGATGGAATGAAAGTCTGGACGAGTTTATGAAATATTTCAATTAAACGTTCATTCTACTACAAGAAATATCTTCTAATTTAGATTGGATTAACATATTTATGACTGAAAATCCTTACTTAGAATGACAGTCCAATTAAAATATTTCATTAACTCATCCAGACTTTCAATCCATCTCTAGCATGCAGTTGAAATAAGAAGGGATACCCCATTCTTGGAGGAAAGTTTTCAAGTAAGACGGAAAATTTTAAAATTGGAATGAAATTTTTTAAGATGGAATGAAAATTTAAAATTTAGAATGTAATTTTACTTCAGAATGATTATTAAATTCTAGGAATTTTTTCTGTTGTAACCTGACCGGCTGCTCGGTCAGCGCCTTCAACGCTGCCCCGAACGGGCCGGTGGCTCTGGCGAATACCGCTAGAGCATTGAAGGAGAAGAAGAAGAAGAAGAAGAAGGAGAAGAAGAGAGAGAGAGA